TTGGTCATGAATTAAAAAGATACGCCTCCAACCCCAAAAATTTTAAAATTTTTTTTTAAAAAAAAAATACTGTGCGCATATTATAGGTTAAACTAGGTCATGTAAAGATACAAGACTCTTGTTTGTACGTTATTATTTCCATTTCTCATGTTATCCTTCTCATATGACTATTTTTATATTTAACTTCTTGTTGTGCAGTAAGTTTTGTGGATCTTGCTGGATCAGAAAGGATAAAAAAATCTGGTTCTTCAGGTAGTCAGCTCAAGGAAGCTCAAAGTATCAATAAATCACTTTCAGCCCTTGGGGATGTTATCAGTGCTTTGTCTTCAGGCAGTCAGCACATTCCCTATAGGAATCACAAGTTAACAATGTTAATGAGTGATTCACTTGGTGGTAATGCTAAGACTCTAATGTTTGTGAACACATCTCCTGCTGAGTCGAATTTGGACGAGACTTACAATTCTCTCACGTAAGCTAATCTATCTTATCATGCACAGTTATGTTATTAATTTTTTAAACTGTTTTACTGTTCATAGTTATGCTTATGTTCATGAAAGAGGATATGCCTTATGGGAGTGCTTATCAGGATTCAGTAATTTGTTTTGTAAAATGATACCATAAATTATTGAGTTATCATTAATAAAATAAACTTTAGTAGTCTCCACTGAAGACAGTATTAATTATTGATCTTCAGATTTGTAATTCCTTTAACACTATAGAGCAAGATGCCATTGTCTTGTAATTGTCTTACAATATTGGTTTGAATGTGCTACAGATATGCATCAAGGGTCCGGTCTATTGCAAATGATCCTACCAAAAATGTTTCATCAAAGGAAGTGGCTCGCATGAAGAAGCTGGTGGCGTATTGGAAGGAGCAGGCAGGTAGAAGGGGTGATGATGAAGATTTAGAAGAAATTGAAGAAGAACGTGTACACCCCAGAGATAAGACTGATGGTCGACATTCTATGTAGTGTTTATAGCTTCTGACTTGAGGAAAGACATGGTTGAAATTGACAACGTTCTGGCTGATTGTTATTCTAATATTTGAGGTCAGGGTGATCCAAGAAGGCTTTGTCAACATTTCCTATGATTAGATGGCAGCATATTGCACTAGGGTTTATTAACTTGTATGAAAATTTTGTTGAAAATATAGGGCTTAATTCAGTGTAGAAGATTTCACCGATGTTGTATAGTGATAATTTGTATATTTTGGATACGGTTTTTTATTGATTCATATTCAAAATGTGGGATGACCATTATTTTTATTTTTATTTTCCCAATTTTTGTTAGAAGTTGTAGAGCTCATATAGTAATCGCTCCAAGCAATCCTACAGGTCAATTGGGTATGTTATTGGGGGTGGTTTTCTTTTTTTGTTTCTCTGACATACTGTATTTAAAAAATTGTGTTAGACACACATTATTTCAAAACTTCTCTTAAGAACCCAAGGGATAGGCAAGTGGAGATGGAATGACCTGTAAATTGGACATTTTAAATTCAAATTTTGATAATTTCTTTGGAGGCATGACATTTCTTTGATCGGATCATAAAAGAGATTATTCAAAGTGTGTTTAAATTGATTTGGTACAATACCAAAAAAAAACCTTCTAAGACCAATAGTAGGTAGAAATAGATTGACCCATTTATTGCAAAGTTACAGGGAAAAACAAAGTAAACATGTATATTGACTTCGAGCCATGATATGTGTCAATTATACCAGCATAGCTCCCTCGCCCCCTTTTGATCTTGTTATTAATCCATGCATTAGATTTATCTTTACTCTATCACATGTTTGATAATGATTGGATAAGAATAAAAAATAACATGTTAGGTTCACGACGTAACATCAAATCATATGTCAATAATATTGTTCTTCATTCAATGAAGTGAATAATTTGATGCAAAAATATATCACTAATTTTGATTTTAATTCACCGAATTGAATACCACCCCAAGTTAGGGGTGCAACTTGGACGGGCTAATCCGATTTTAACCCAAAAAAAATTAGGGCTTGGATTAGGGTATTTAATACTTGAGTTGGACTTGAATCAAAAAACCTCAATCCAAATTCAATTTGGGCGGGCATAGGGTTAAAGCTATCGGGTTCAAATCGAGCTCAACTCGAATTAATACTATATAAATATAATTTTATTCTAAGGTTAATCTCAACTCAAGTTTGCGTCTCTCTCAGATCCTCACTCACTCTTAATCTCTCTCAAGGATTCTGGTTGTGCAAGGATTTTGTTTAAGCAGTGAACTCTATGTTTGTGCAAGGATTTTGGTCGTGTTTATTTGTGTTTTGTATGATTGTTGTTGCATTATCTAAAATATTTAGTTCTTAATATTATGATTTTTATGTTAAAAACTTGATTGAAGTAACCCGAAATCAGCCCATAAAGTAACTCAAATTCAACTCGAAATCATTGACCCGAATTCAACTCGAGCTTGTTCGAATTAAACTCGAGTAGTGCTCGGGTTGAGTTCCTTAACCCGAGGTAGGGTTAGAGTTAGGGTTAAGGTTGAAGATTATATACTTAAAGTTGGACTAGGGTTGACCGTCCAAATCGTCCAAACCGCCCGAATTGCACCCCTATTCCAAGTGAGTTCCAAATAATTCCATGTACCTATATGGGGTTATTTGATTGTGACTTTGAATTCATAACATTGTCTGAAAAAAAAATAAAAAAATACGTTGCCAAACAAGAAAAATATAAGGCATCAAATTTATTTTTATTTTACCCATCCCTACTCCAATCCGGTGAACCAAACGGTCCCTACGAATGCTTATTTCTTATGTGGCGTGACATATGCAACCCATGGAGAAAAACTGGCATGCTAACATGATTTCAAAGTCTTACGTGGTCTAGTGATGGTATCAAACTTATTTCTCATTTAGATGTTGAGAGTTTGAGTTTTAGAGTTTTTATTAAGGTTCGGTAATTGATTACAATGTTAGCTTAGATAGATATGATTCCAAGAAGTATTTCAGGTGTGATTAAAAATTTTATAATTCTACTGGTGAGAACCTAATGAGATGATCACTTCCAGCTTTTTAGAACTGAACGCAAATCATATTACCAATGCCTCAAATGGAAGAACTTTTATGGTAGGAAGAAACAATTTTGTAGCATTGGACCAAAAGTTAATGAACAAATTGAGTCAAGATTCAATTCAGATAAACTAACATATTCCAGAGAGTCAATTTGAGATCAATCTGAAAACTGGTGATAATCCCAAAATAAAATAGCATATGCAAATTTTGTATGTTTTTTACTCCAACGAGACTATGGCAACGAAATCTTAGACGCATTATATTTTTATTGGGCGAAAAAAAGAGGTATGATAACGAAATTCTTTGGTATTGTAGGGGTGTTAATTTTGACAATAGACGACAACACGACTCATATTTGACATGAAACTAGTGAAATTTACTTGAATATTTGTCGACATGAACCTCAAAATGACACACACTACTAATATAATTAATAAACATATCCAATTTGAATCGAATACGAATAACTCAAAATTAATGAGATTAACACATTTTATTAGTTATTTTTTTAAAATCTATTTTTACTATTATATATATTTATTGAATTTTTAGTTAATGAAAACATCCTGACCCAAAAAAAAAAGTTTATGAAAACACTAATGAGTTTAGTTTAAATATAATAAAAGTTTTGTTTTAGATTTTTGATTCAGAATTACCTGTTTCAATTTGTACAAGTCAAGCCGGGTTAATACTTAAACAAATTATACAATTAGATAAATGAATTGAGTTAAAATTAACTAATTTTGGACGTAAACCCAAATTAACACGATTAAAACGTGAAACGACACATCTGTTATCCATTGTCGTATCCTTTTGTTGCATTTTCCGACATAAAATCATGTACAAGTCAAATTGTCTGCTCTCGGTAGCAACCCACCACGAGGCACCAGACAAATGCAAAGTTTTCTTCATACTTTATAAAGCTGTCTCCTCAAAACTGGCAAAACATACGATGCATCCCCATATTCAGTGGACACAAGCCTTTGGAATTACCCACACGACTTGGCAACGACAAAAAATAGTGACTCTCCCACTCCATCACCATTCCTCTACAACTTCCAAAGCCTAAGAGAGCCTAAAGATTCAAAAACCAAACAAAACCCAAATGGCCTCGAGCAATGTCATACCAGTGATTGATCTTCAAGACTTTCCACAACAGTCATCGAAGCTGGTCTATGCATGTCAAGAATGGGGTTGTTTTAGGATCGTAAACCACGGTGCGATTCTCACGGAACTGCTAATGGGGGAGATGAAGGCGGTGGTGAGGTCACTGCTCGACCTTCCCATGGAAATTAAGCAGCGAAATGGAGATGTTATTGCAGGAAGTGGGTATATGGCACCTACCAAGATCAATCCTCTTTATGAGGCGTTGGGTCTTTACGACACGGCCTCTGTTGAAGCTGTTGATGCCTTTTGTACTCAGTTGGATGCCTCACCTCATCAAAGGTTTTGTGCTCTTTCTTTCATGTTTCTTAAGTAGTATTAATGGTTAGGGTAAACTACACAAATAGTCATTCAACTATGAATCTTGTGTCAATTAACTCTGAACCAATTTTTGTATTAATTGAGTAACAATTAAGTCCATGGACTAATTTTTTTGTATCAATTGAACTCTTAAACTCTAAAATTTTAACAATTAAGTCATTCTGTTAGCATTCGTTAGATTTTTGAATGGAATGTCTCACGTGATCATCACGTGGACAATGGATTAGAGGTATTTTAGATTGTTCATTCAAAATTTATCGGATAAAGAACCTCATTCTTTATACCCATCAACTGAAATCTTAAACCTAAACCTTTTTTATATCCATCAAACAAAGCAAATTAACAAGCCTACTTTGTTTGGCGGGTATGCAAGGGGTTTTGGTTGATGGTTACAAAGAATAGGGTTTTTTGTTTGATAAGTTTCGAATGGACAGTCTAAAATACTCCTAATCTGTTGTTCATGTGGTAAGCATGAGAGCCATTTTGGCCAAAAACTTAATGGCTACTGACTGAAGGACTTAATTACTAAAATTTTAGAGTTTAGGGATTCAATTAACACGAAAATTAGTTTAGAGGCTCTGACCTAATTAACACAAGATTTATATTTTAAGAGTTATTTGTGTAGTTTACTCTAATTGTTAATATCAACATATTCTTATAAGATATTGTATCAAATATTCAAATATACATATCTAATACATAGTATTCGATGATAATAAAATGTTAAGTAAATATTACAATTAGTACTTAAACTTTGCCTTTTGCTTTAAAATTATCTCTGATTTTTTAATTGTTTCAATTTAGTCTTTCTGACTAATTTTTTGTATATTGTTAAAGAATTTATGATAGTTATAAGAATGAAGCGTGACAAATTCCAACACGACATTTTTTGTTTTAATCTTTAACGAATTTGGGTGATAAATGGATGGACTTGCTAGACCTGTGTAATAAATAAGTTGTGTTCAAAGTGAGATATCTTAATCCATTTATCATTTATTAACCCGTTTAATAAATTACATTACTAAATAGGATATATATGATATTTATATATTTTTAGCCTAATATGTTATTTTTTAGTAGGAGTAACACTGGAAATTTTTACATAAATTGTTATAAGAAAAGGTTTAATTGTGGCTGCTAGTTAAAAGGTTTTCGTGTGGAAACCGAATCGACCCTAAACTACTTATTTATTTAATGGGTATGTGTCGTGCCGTATAACTCATTTAGTAAATGAGTCGTGTTTAATTTATTTTTCACTTGTTTGATAAACAAATTATGTATAAATTTAGTGACTTTTAACACGAACCTGCTTAAACCGACAAGATTGTCAGGCCTAATAAAAATATAAAAAAATCCTATGATAGACATATTATAAGCATATCCGCAGCCAAATTTTTTAAGTTTTGTCATATCGACATATACGTATCATACTCGTATCTCGTATCGATATTTGTGCTTCCAAGCTCGATCATCACATATACATTCCAATGCAAATCATTGGTTTCAACTCTCCATTGATAAATGTTGCAGCCTGAAAAAAGTTGCATTTGAAGCCCTGTCCTCTGTTTTTGTGTTCTTGCTTCTAGCTTTCAATCTGTGCATTTTCTTTCTTTATTTTCGTTGGTCTTTATTTTTGCTTTCTCTGCCCTTTTCATCTCCCCACATTGATGCAAGGTATAAACTGCTGAGTAATCTTCTCAAGTGTAAAGAGTAAGCATATCCACAATTGTTTTTAGCCTAGACTCCATATTTGTTAATAAACATTTGTGAAATCACTACAATCCTAGCATCATGAGTCATGACCAATACCACAGGTATTTTTCACTGAATAACTACTACATTTGACCCTCTCTAAACTCTGTAGTGATGGTTTTACCGGAAGCATATTGAAGTGTTTTTTTTCCTTGAAGCTGCTTTCAAATACACCTTACTAATTGTTTTTTCAGTTGCAATTAATACAGAGAGATAATTGTGAAGTATGCTCAAGCAATACATGAGCTGACCATGGATATTGCTCAGAAACTGGCCAAAGGTTTGGGGATATCGGGGGTCTTATTCGAGGAATGGCCTTGCCAGTTTAGGATCAACAAATACAACTTCACTCCTGAAGCTGTAGGTTCCTCCGGTGTACAAATCCACACCGACTCTGGTTTCCTTACCATACTTCAGGATGATGAAAATGTCGGTGGCCTCGAAGTCATGGACAAATCTGGTGCATTTGTGCCTGTAGATCCATGGCCAGGCACTCTCATTGTTAATCTTGGAGATATTGCTAATGTGGGTAATAAACTCTGCTTATGTTTTTTGTTAGTTGGTCTTGTAAAATCTGGATCGTCCGGCGTTTGATTCGCCGATGTTTGTTTGTTTTTTTTTCAGGCATGGAGTAATGGAAGGTTATGTAATGTGAAGCATAGAGTAGAATGCAAGGAAGCAACAATACGTGTGTCGATTGCTTCGTTTATGTTGGGGCCAAAGGGTGTAGCTGTGGAACCTCCACCGGAATTAGTGGACTCTGCACACCCTCGGATGTATGTTCCGTTCACTTTTGAAGAATACAGGAAGCTACGACTCTCAACGAAGTTGCAAGCTGGCGAAGCTCTTGCTCTCGTACGATGCTAACTCCTGAAAAAATAAGTAGCATAGTTCATTCTGTTCTTGTCCTTCTTTGTGGTGGAAAACAAACAAGAACACTGCTTTTCCAATCAAATTGAGAATTACAAATAATACAACCTTTGAAGCTGGTGTTGTTATTTAGATCAATCAGTGTCAAGGCCTTGTCCTATAGATATTTTCAGGGTATCTTGAAGAAGCCTCAGCTTCATCGGCTGGAATCATAAATGGGTTGTCTCCTCTCTGATGATGCTTTCTACATGTTACTGCAAGTGGTCAAAACTTTGACCCTTCTTCCTTCAAATTATGTTGTCGTATGCAAGTTCAACTTATGAATAAAACTGTGTTTGTTCACAATTTGTTGCCATGATAAACACATTACAAGGGCTATGTTATAAAGACTGAGACCTTCCAAAAATTGATGAGAGAATGCAAGTCTTTTTTACTGACTTGAAATCACAATGTCCCTTATCCCGTATTTATAATCTGTCATAAATTATGTTGATAATCAATTTCACTCGATGTATCGTTTTAGCATAAAATTGCTATACTCTGTAAATTCAGAAAATTAGTGGAAGGATGATGATCAAACAACTGTGGAACATATGCTTTTGTCAAACTGTTAGATACAACATATTAAAGAACAAGAAAAATCTTATAGGACACCACCAATCATACTTTACACTGGCAATCCTTCCTCCCCCTCCCTTCTCTCACTAAACAAATTGATGCGAAAACATGAAGATGAGGAAAACAAAATGAAAGAGGGAAAAGAGGATGGAAATCTTAAGATCTCCGAACCAACCTTAAGTACAATGAAGAAAAAACTATTTGAAGGAAAAAGAAAAGTGACACATTGGTTATATTTGTTTACAAAAGAAACTAAACCAAAGGGTACTGGTCAGAAAGGAGAGATTGTGGACTCCACCCAGAACTATACTGAGATGTTGTAATGGACGTGGTGTTGGCTGTAGTAGTATCTCCATCCACTGGCAGCATAGCCGGCCACACAAAAGCTGGCTTGAATGGTGGAACATGGGGCGTTGGCACTGTCCCTGATATAATCTGAACGATCGCTTGAGTTTTAGGCCTCTCGCTTGCTATGGGATGCGAGCAAGCCAGCCCCAGCAGCAGAATTCTCTCAGCTTCGTCAACAACGTAGTCATCCCCAAGCCTCACGTCGACAGCATCCGATAGCTGGTCCTGACGGTGCAAGGACCATACCCAATCGACCAAGAATTGGAACCCCTCGATCTTGGTTCCTGGCCTTAGGCCACAAACTACCTCCAACAAGACCGCTCCAAATGCATAGACATCGGATTGCTGTGTGGCCTTACCAGTGTGGAAACACTCTGGCGCAATGTAACCTATGGTGCCTAGTACTCCCTCGGCCTCAGCATATGAGGTCTTCTCATTGTCGAGGGCACGTGCCAGGCCAAAGTCACCAAGACGCGCGTTGAAGTTGGAGTCTAGCATGATGTTGCTGGCCTTAAGGTCACGGTGCACCACCTTCTGGTCAAATTCATTGTGAAGATATTGTAGAGCCGAGGCAACCCCGGATATGATCTTGTACCGAAGTTTCCAGCTTAGGGACTCCGTTTTAGCACCCGCAAAGAGGTGCTTGTCGAGGCTGCAATTGGGCATGTATTCATACACTAGTAGTAGGTTATTGTTCTTGTGGCACCATCCTGCCACATAAACACATTGTTAGATACATATTTGTGTGTTCTCATGCTAGAAATGTAAATTTAACAATTAATCGGGAAGGCATGAGTGGTAATCATATTGTTATGAACATGTTGATAGCACTAAGTTGTTTCATTTTGGACTAGGAATATAATTCTGATAGGAGATGCAGAAAACAATTCAGTGAATGTTCACTTTCTAGTGAGAGTTTTGTTACTAGTAAAATGGTAATGGTAGTTTAATTAATTAAAAATAAAAAAAAATTAATTATCATGTTGTCTCATAGAGATTTATTCTCCAAATTGTTCCTACGTAGCCTTGCTTTAGCAATCAGACTACAGAGGGGCATATCATGGTGTAATAAGCAACAAGACATGTTCAATCACCAAGTGAATTGTTTTGCTAGCTTTAAATTAATCTCCTAAGCTGCTGCAAGCGCAACTAAAACATTTCTCTGTTAAGTACAGTCCATCAGAGAACTTAATGGTCCATTTGGTATGATGGAGAAGTCGTAGGCTCAAAAATAGAAATGATTATATCATGTTTGTCTAGAAAGAAAAAGTGGAAGAGAGGAAAAGTAAAAAAATTAATCTTCCTTCCAACTCACCAAAATATCTCTCCAAAATGAACAGAGAATTGGAAGAATGGTTAATTATGTGTGTTGAAATGTAAGTTATTTACCTCTATATCCTTTAATATATACATATATCTTATTAACCTATTACATTTTAGGTGTATATTAATTTTCCTATGGATACAATTGTAAGACATGCATGTCTACTTTTGACTTTTGTCCACTTTCTATCCACACTAAACATGAAAAGAAAAAAAAAAAAAAAATTCTCCTACTTTTCATCCTTCCTACTAGACGCGAAAAAAGTGAATTACTTCCATTCATCCTACCTCATTAATCATGAAAAGTAGTTTCAAAGGAAGGTGTTAACACTAAACATTCATGGGCCAATCTATCCCAGAAAAAAAAAATCCATTCAAATTTGACAGTAGATTAACCAGATGGTCAACATGAAAAATGAAATGAGTCGGTGCAGACTTTGGGGTCCTTTAAGTGGGTTAGATTCCTCCAAATTGGCAGCTAGTACCACCTATATCCAAGTTCAATTCTATTCTCCATGGCCTACCTCAAGCATCATTTTTTACTTCTAGGGGCCCTCAAATGACAACAAACATGCATTATAAATGCACAGTTGTTGGCCATGATGACAATGGTACGATTAAAAAACAGTAATGTTACGATGATTAAATTTTAGAATCAAATTTGGAGTCTAAATGACATAATAGTATATTATTTAGAGTTTTTATTGAGACCCAAATGACATGACACCAAATAAAAAAGCCCAAGTTAACTACCATGTTATTTAAACTTTAAATTTAATTTTAAAATTTGATTAGTGTAGTATTAGTGACTAAAAAAAGACCCCATGTCAAAGTAAATGAAAATTAGTAATGGTACCGTGATAGTAATGGTACAATCAAAATTCTCTCTCTATCAAGTCAAAGTAAATGAAAATTAGTTTCAAAACTAAACTTCAATGGCAATGGCAATGGCAATGGCAATGTCAATCTCACGAGCGAAGCTTCTACTAGAGTTATTTAATTGCAATGAACAAGTTATTTAGATTCATCATAGTAATTGACTTTATATGCAGGCGTGGAAATTAGCGGAAGGTTCCTCTCTCTCATTACGTGTAGCACTAACAACCTCGACGATGATGAAGTCCATTGTCATCAAAGGGTGGCTCCAATATTCAACAATGAATAACCACAAACACGAGGCTGAAAAAAAGACTCGGATGTCTTGGCTTCTAATAGACTAAGTTCTGTCGATAGTGAACAAAAATTCAAAAAAAAAAAAAAAATTCACAAGCCAAAGGGACGCCTGGATTGAAAATTAAACAAATAACCTATGAATATGTTCACACTTTAATCAATCCAAACGGACAAACCAAACATCAGATTCCTTAAAACATTACATTATTAAGGGACTAAGCTCTTTTTATAATAACAAGGGAAATTGCAGACAAAGTTCTACCCTTCAACCATCGTTTGTTCTTAATCTTTCTATTTGTTTTACATCATTTTGCAGCCTTCTCTCAAATCACATGAAATAATTTGAGTAAAGATTTCACTTTCTGACCTTTTTCCTCTGTCAAAACATGTCATTACTGGCAGATATTCGAAGACATGATCAATACTGTCATTCTCATATGGGACCTATATCCAAACAATGAATCATGTACGTATCTCCAAAAAAGACTCAAATCTTTAAGGTCTGTTGGGGTAGTTAATGCCATCAGGACACCACTAATCAAGACTCGACTGAAAAAGTGTAATTAAAGCAATCAATAGCAATACTAATCAAGAATCAAATGATAAAATTAGGAGAACATATTTGTAATTAGGTGATCTAATGAACAGGAAATTAACAAAGGACTTACCAAGCAATCGAACAAGATGTTTGTGCCGGAGACGATTGATAATGGTGAGCTCAGCCAAGAAATCGTCCTGACCCTTGATGCTCTCCCTGGAGAACCACTTGACGGCGATCTCCAAATTCTCACTCGCCAACAACCCTTTGTACACCACACCATACCCACCTTGTCCCAGTTTGTTCTTGTCATCAAAGTTGTTCGTAGCCTTCTTCAAATCTCTGAAATCGAACTCCCTAGGCATTCCCGGCAAGCTCTTGAGCGCCCCAAGAATGTTCGGATTCGAGTTGCGCATCCGCCGCCGGCGGTGGATGTAGGCCAACGCCACCACCCCTATCAGCAGCAGCACCACCACCGGCACTCCGACTCCAAGAACAATCTTCAACCATGGGTGGTTCTTCTCCGGAAAGTAATGAACCGTTAGATTCCATCTCAATACACAGTTGAGCTGGGTTGCATTCCCAGTTGATGCAGAAAACCCAAAATGCGAGTATTGATTCACCACGTCTTTAAGATCAAGATCTGATCTCAATATGGGTGTGCTCGGCATAGACGGAGTGGGTCCCCACTTTTCAGCTTGCTCCGCAATGTACACCTCTATGACCTTTTTTATCCCGTCATAATTGACCCAAACGTTGTAAAATCTAGGATCCATTGGAACAAGTTCGATCCCATAGGGGGTCAAGGACTCTGCCACTACAGATCTGACGCCATTGATGTCAAGCCCAACATGGTTCGCATCTGGGTCGAAGTCCTGTTTATGAGTATCAAGCTCAACGGCCACCAGACGGTTGCTGGAGTTACCGTCGGTGGTGGAGTTGGTCAAACCCAGGTACTCACCATAGCTGTTGTGCGGCAAATCGAGGTCCGGCGCTATCAAGAACGCGAGGCCCTCGCCGGCGGTGTCTTTTTGCAGCGGGTAAATGTTGACGAGGAACGAAGAGTTGAAAGATGCGACTCTGCTCGTGTTTGACGCTGAATCCCCATTCCAGAGCTTGAAGGCTCGATTCAGGAGGACTCTTCCTGAATTGTAGGTGAGGTTGAAATCGGCCGAAGCCGAGTCCGGAGTCACCTGAAGGGCATCGTTACTTATTGTTGCTGGTTTTTCAACTTCGAATATGTCGTAGTAGTATGATGTATCATTAAAAGGTCCTGAAACTTGGGTGAATGTTTTGAGTTTCTGAGCTTCAACAATGGCGGTCAAACAACAAAGGAAGAAGATGAAGATGGTGAAGAGTCGTCTCACCGTCAGTACTCCCATTTCATGTGTTTGACAGCTCTTGGTTGTTGATGAAGCACAGACACAGATGGGTTCTGGTGGCGGAGAGAGAGAGAGAGAATCAATGAGTTATTTGAAGCACGCATGGCTCTGTTTTTTGGCTAATTACTCCATTAAAATAATGTTGAAGGAGGTGGCTTTGAAAATGGACGTTTGAACAGGATTGAGTCTTCTTTTCTTCGTTCTTACCATTCTCCATTGCTTGGAACTTTCCTCTTGGTGTATTCTTATCATGTTGGATATGATTAGATTATATATACTTTGTGAAGATAATATATTAATATTTATACATTTTTTTTTGTTTTTATTTTTTATTATTTTGAGTTTCCATCTCTAATTTCAGATCAAAAAAAAAAAAGTTTCCTTCTCTAACCATTCTCTTTTTTACACATGTTTATAAAAACCATATTAAAACCTATTTTGACCTAGTTGTTACAATTGAAAATGCAATAACATTTCACCAAGTCACCTCCAAAAGAGTTTTTAGTGATTGAAAAAATAGCAATAAAATTATTATATTTAATTTTATTAATATCGGGTTCCAACTAATTGTGAAGTTCATTATTAATCTAATAGCAGTGAGCGATTAGATTATAAAATTAGGTCAATGAATGAAATTTAAATAATATAATATGGTTGTTACAATTTATCTCTTGTTCGGATGCTAAGGCAAAATAATGGAAATCATGAATAATACTTATGTGACTTTGAGACGAAATTATCAATCTACAGATAATAACTCTGAAGGAAATATGTTTGTGTTCGAATTCTTATCTTATCAATTTGCCTCCTAGATACAACGAAATTACCAATCTACAAACAATAACTCTGAATATTAATTTCCTTCACAAAATTTCTTTGAAATTGTAATGTTTAAGTCTAACTTGTGACAATGAGATGGAATAGGAAAGAGATGGTCTAGAATATATTCCAAGATGTTCAAAAGATTCTTGTTAATGTTTTCTCTAGTCACGAAGAGACTATCAACAACAACTTGCACACATTTGGATGCGAGAGCTTATATTCAAAAGAGTAGGCTATCGTATCCAAAAAAAATTGATACCGTATTATATTATTTATTTTTTTAAAATTTGAGAGTCATTTACAGAGTTTTATGGATCATTTATAATTTTTGTGGGCTATTGGGGATCAATCCCTAAATTTTTAGGATTGATTTTAAGTAACCCGCAAAATTATAACTGACTCACAAAAATTAACTTGAATAATAAAAATTGTAATATGACCTCAAAACTTATAAATTTTTTTGTCGTAAAATGATCTTATAAAATTATAAAAACACCCACACAAATTATAAATTTTGAAAATACAAAACCATTTTTTTTTTTTTTTGGATATACCATAGTCTTCGCCTCAAAGTATTCTTTCATGCAAGTTCGTGACTTTTTATCAAAGGACAACTTTCTTTGAGAGAATTTGGTTGTTGAATTGATAGTACCCTTAAATTTCAAAATCAGTCATTATATGCTTTTTCTAAGAAATCTCGATGTTTAAATGAACGACTGGTGGTTTTTCTAGTGCATTGTCCGAAAATGTACTTTTATCTTTTGTTTTTGTATTTAAGTCGAATAGAGTTGTTTTGGGCGACTTAAATGAAAAATTGATAAAAATAATTATTACAATAGTAATAAAAATATTCATAACAATTGTAAATATCAGTAGGGTACTATATTCTTTTTTCAATAGATTTTTTTTTTTGAAGGGAGAGGGAGGAAAGGGGTTTGAACTCTTGATCTAAAATAAGATAAAATTTTCACAAGATAAAGAGTACCATTAGACGAAAAAGCTATTAATTTTCGGTAGATAACTCCTCTTTTGGATAAGTAAGTCAACTAGAGTTTTGTTTTGCAACTGATCCAAAAGTTTCTATATTTAGGTCTAGAAACCCTTCCTCCCGTCTTTGTTGTGCATGAATTTCAACTTTGGAACCATCGTTTATCATTTTCATTGTAGGTGGCTAAGTGACATTTATTGGAAATTTTATCATGAAAGCAGTGTTGGACGTGTAAATTGGAATTTAAGGATTTAATTGACAAAATGTAACACTATTTGACATTGTAATTTCCATGAAACCTACCCTGCTATGTCACTGGTTAAAGCTCAGTTTGAGCTTGATTGTCGGGTTTCAAGTTTTAATCAAAGTTTAACTCAATTTGTAGTTCATATGCATTGTTTTAACTAGTTTTTTGGAGTAAAAACTCAAATTTAAGCTCAAACTCGAGTAAATCTGAAAAAAATATATACCTAGTAAGACTTAAACCCGCTTTAGACTAGAAGTAGGAACACCTTATCAATTAAGCTGAGTGTTATTTTATTTTTTTCTTCCACCAAAATGTTTTTCGGATCATTTTTTTTAAATTTGGATAATTACTCCTAATTTTTTTGTTTATTACATAATACTTTCAGACACAGACAATAACTAGTATATGTATGTGTATATATATATATATATAATGAGTAATTATGTATTACCCTAAATTTATTTGTTTGGGGGTGGACCAAAAAGAATGGCTTCGATTTAGGCCATCGCGGTGGTGGTTATTTTTGCTAACCACCTTGAGTTGTGAGTAAGTAGAATAGTATTCGGTCAACTAGAGAATATGTCAATGTGAAACCTTGAGCTATTGATTTATTTATGCTTATAGTGCAAGCAAAAATGATATTGTTGATAATCAATTATCCTTCACGTCACACGCCTTTCACACTTGTGTGATCCGCTATATAAACTTTAGGGTGTGTTTGGATATTGCTCGAGTGGATTGGAGATTTAAAAAAATATTTTTTCCTATTTAACCCTAATTCACCTATCATTGGACTAATTAAGATTTAATAGCTATATTTTATTATTTTTCGTGTTTGGATAATACATAAGTATTTATGTAAGACCCATAGAGAAGGGTTATGAAATATAGTATTAATTGACTGTTTTATCCCTAATCTGTCCAATAGAACACTATGTTTGATTTATAAATTAGTCTTTGATCAATTCTAAACATATTTTCTTTCATGTAATTTCATATTCTTTAAATGAGTGTTCATATGTTACAAAAACTATTGAGAATTAACTCAAATTCTCATTAATTAATTATTTTAGCATTCGTTGTTAATTAATCTTAGTCTGAATAGGATATTACTTTATTGAAGTTAGTTTATTATTTAAATTACTTGTTTTGTTGGAGAAGACGTCTTGGTCTTGGTCTTGGTATATTGGTGGAGCCTTACCTTGACAAAATAAATTTGTTAAAAAAAAAAAAATCAAATCTATGAAAAAACATGAGAAAGAGAGTTGGTCATTTGCATTAGTTATCTGGCAAAAAAAATCTTGCTATCTCTTGAGTTTCATTTAACCCATCTAAATAGATTTGACTTTTCAAATTGGGTTGAGATAAAATCTGAATATAATTTTTCATACATTTTTTACTTATTAAATATGGAATATATGTCACATATTTTTTATGTTACTCTATCAGAGTTATCCCCTTTAACCCTCGATCCAAACATACATTAGGTTAGGGCCAATTGAACAGCATTAAAAAATAAGCAAGGTTTTAGGCCCTAAGTTTTTAGAAGGCCCAAAATTTTTAGGCATATTACTAACCCATAAAAAAAACTAAATCCTTTAAATTTTAAACCCTAAAAAAAAGGTCCCAAAATATTAAGTACAATCAACATTTTTATTGTAATAATTTAGGTCCATGATTCAATTCATAACATTAGAAATCTAAAAATCATAAGTTAAAAAAATAAAAAGTAATTAAAAGTCAACTCATATTTACCCATTCTCTCTCTTTGTGTGTGTAAAAATTAGAACAAAACATTAAAAAAAAGTTAAATTAAACTCTCTTTTTGATAAAAAATAAAAATTAAAGGTAAAATATTTTTTTCAGTAATACTAGCACGTCTTTATTCGGTCTCTCTCTCTCTCTCTCTCATATAATATATTGAAAATAAATTAAATTTTTTAAAAATTAATATTAAAAATAAAAAAAAGATTTTATTAAGTATTTTCGCTTTAGACCCCAATTGTCTTAACCCACCCACCCCTGCATTAGGTGTACAATTATTCACAAATTATGTACATCTATTATACTAAAGTGCTTTGGTTAAGGCTCAAATTTTAAATCACAATATATTTAAAGGATTGTCATCCGATCCATACAAAGGGATTGACTTGTATAAACAAACACACAAACCCACAAAACAAAAACAATTGACGTCACTTGAATTGCAATGGGGTGAATTATTTCCGCATGATCCGCTTAAATTTCTAAAACCGCATTGATTTAATGACCAAAAAAAGAAGGAAAAAACAGGCATTATTGATTTCACTACTGATCTGGAGGAACTTTTATTCCTCTTTTTCTTGTGAATCATTTGCTACTTTTTAAGCAACATTCTGGTCCAGCTAGAGTTCACACCTTAAGCTGCTTGAAAATTTTCTTTTGTTGTTGAAATCTAAAGCAAGATGATACAACTTTTGCATGATTAAAAGCAAAAGCTTATGAGAGAGAAAGCAATATGAAATTATCCATGATAAAGTATTACAAAAAAAGTTGCCATCTTTGTTGCTCCACTTCCACCATGTTCTCTAGTTAGCTTTTTAAAGTCTTATTTTTCTTTTTCTTTTTTTTTTTGTGGATAAGAAATAATTAGCATTGTTCTAGAAAATTTGTATTTTGACCGCTTAATTATATCTTCTTTCTTGTATTGCATCTTCAACTGTTATATTTTTATGGCATTTCACTCTAGTTATAATTACTAATTTTTTATTACCCTAACTATAATTGTTCGTTATAAACTTGTGTCACTGTTATGTGATTTTTTTTTTTTAAAAAAAAAAAAAAAATTAATGACACAAATATATATTTTGTCCAAAACATAGTGGTGTTGACACTTGGATAGTGTAAAATGAATTTTTAGTTCTGGAGAGAATGATGTGAAACACATGTAGAGAGGATTAATTGAGATTGAAGTTTAAGGTTGAGAAACATAATTGATACTTTTTCATGTTTTTTAATCTTGAAAACACATCATACATAGATGTAAAGTGCAGAATATGCTTAAAGCATATTTCATTCTATATTCAAATATGGATAGGAAAAAGGTATCACACATAGATATAGCCCACACCACCACACCCACCCACCCACACTCACCCACTAGCTACCATAGGGAGGCTGA